TKTSTCYSCGSRSASKGGATAAACCACGTTGCCTAGGATAAACGAAAAGGTTCATGCTYCACGATGTGATCAACCTAAGAAAACATTAATTACCACGGATASATSTATGTTGCAACGTAGTTCAATTGTGGTCGMACATYATRCGTCTGAGGACTTGAACATAATGTTCTACATTTGTCTCCGTGTAMAGTAAAGTGCGAAGYTTTAAGAAGAAAACCACGTTGCCTAGAATAGATTTAATATGAGATTAGGTACAATCGCGTTCTCGATTCCTTCAAGAAAAAAGTAGCTGAGTTCGTTGGAGTAAAAATCCAACATAGGCTCAATAAGTCTATACCACTACTCTCAGTCACGCCTAGAGAGAGTCCGCCTTSAAGAGAAGTGAAATGGCATCGGGTATAATCACTCCTCTKTCTTCGTCTCATTCACATCTGAACGAGAGAATTTAGATGCCTTCAGGGAGGAAGTATCCGGCCTTRGCACGGTATTCAGGGGTGGCAAGAGCTCCTCCGATTTGGGCGCCGATGTCCAATCCAGAGTTGGCGGCTTGGCAGAAAAGACCGAAGGCACCCAACATGGCCAATCGGCAGTGCTTGATTTCTTGGACTTGCTTTTCGTAGAATTGTTCTGGTGTGTAGTCAAGGTTGAAAGGGTTGATGCGAGGTCCAGGTCCTTGTCCCAATTGAAGATCACCAGGAAGGCGGTCAGGTCCCTGTGCCTTGATCAAAGAAACACGACGGAATTCAATCAAGGAGAAGACCAAGACGAGCTGGGCAACGGCCTCACCGGGAACGTGTTCGAGTTCCTCGATGGGGTTCTTGTAAGMGTAGGCGTCGACACCAGTCCACTCGTTACCGGGGAAGGTTCCGAAGACCGAAGGCCAGATGAAACCAACAACGGCCAATTGAGCGATACGGCCGTGGGTGAGCTCGGCTTCACGCAACCATTGGACATCGCTCATGGAGTCCTTGGCACCGGTCTTGGAGTCGAAGAACGAAGCCATAGGGGTGGTGGAGAAACCAACAGGGTCGAAACCGACATCACCAGGAAGGGATCCGTCGAGGGTGGCRGGGCATCCGTTCTCGGCGAAAGGAAGGGCAGCCGAGGGACGGTCGAAAGGAACTCCGGCCAAGGCGGTGGTGGAAGCAGTTTTCTGGGGTGCGGTGAACGCAGACGCCGAAGCGATCATCATAGTAGCGATAGCGAGCTTCATGGTTGTATTGAATTTATTTACAGAAAAGACGTGCTGAAAGAAATATGGGAGTGTGWGGGTTGATGTTGCAGTAGCGCCAGCGGAAATCRAAGAGCTACGCGAGTAACGCAGCACGGTAGAACGAGGTTCTGAGTTCTCAACGATGAACATGAAGATCGCTACGAGTACTTTCTCTTACGTTACATCCCATGCTACGCCATTGCAGTTGAAAAATAATCGTTATCTTCTGTCTCAAGTTGAATTGAAAAGATCGCTCGTAGAAAATCTACGTACCACGTAGTTAATGCGCGACCTAGCTCGTCAAGGCGCGGCACTTTAKAACTGTCTTTGGTTCCTACGACGTACAGACACCTCAACCTATGGAAACATATTTTTGAGGCAGTACCTCTACTGTGCTACCGTACTGTTCGCATTTATGCTACTTTGACTTAGATGGAAAAGTTCTGGAAAAGACACTTTGAGSAAGCCGCAAAAGTATGGATCGGTACGTATCCGGGCTATCGTWGTAACCTTAGTAGGAACTTTTGAGTGGTCGTCGATGGATATTAGTATTCGCACTCGTCGTAGGATTACCACAAGGCTGGAAACGCTACCGATTACGCACGAGCCTCYGCACGGCACGGTCTGTTTTTCTTTTCCATCAACATCAAATGATTTTCTTCAGCGTGAGAACACGATTGATGTACCGTACGGTAAGGAGCAATAGCCAACAGAAGTTGTCCAAGAACGAAAAGCACACGGATACTACGGAAAACTGTGTAAGGTGATGCATGGACTAGTTACGATTGTAATTCAGATTACTTAGTCGGAAGATTAGATACTCTAGTGCGAGAAAAGTCGATCTTAATGATAATTCTTAAGTATGGAGYGTTAACAATCATCAAATCTAAACCACTCAAGTGGGGTTCATMTTCAAAATGTGGGGCACTATCCCACGAGCGGTCGTAGACTCTGAAAAGAGAGAATTCGAATCACTACTTATACTGTATTGTAAGCCAATGGTTARTTCAAAAGAAGTGAATCGAAAATGCAAATAGCTTGTATGTTCCAGTCAAAGCAGAGGTAAAACAAAATATTTACCACCGCTGAACAAAAACAAAACGTTCATCACCAAATGRAATTTAGTTGTAGATGAAAGGAAGTCCGGAGATCAAGGTGTCAAGACCGTCGTTGTTTCCGGCCAAAGTCTGGGTATCGTGACGGAGCAATTCCAAGAATGCCAACATAGCAAGACGTCCGTGTTGGAGTTCCTGTGTTTGGCGCTTGAAGTATTCTTCAGGTTCCAAGTCAAGGTATCCAATAGGGAAGTTTCCGAGGTTTCCGGTGGTCTCGATGATACCGACGGTCCAGATAATTTGCAACCATCCCAAAAGAGGAACGGCGGCGATGGCGGCGTATCCGGAAGGAAYGGAGTCGAAAGGAATTCCGGGGGCGATGTCACCAGGGAAGTGGTAGGTCTCGGTRGCAACGTATCCCAAAACAGCCAACATACAAACACGTCCGTGCTTCAATTCAGCCAATCGGTAGGAATCGAATGTTTCTTGGTCGATACCAGCRGAAAGSTTGGCAGGGTCCCAGAAGCCAACAGGAGAGACGACACCGGCTTCGTTTTCGAACTGGCTAGCCGCAAGGGAAGTGGATCGCGAGTTGGTGGAAGCAGGGGCAAAGGCGGCGGCCGAAGCCAAGATGGTGGCAAGAACACAGGCAGTCTTCATGGTGGATATAAGTATGATTTGGTGCTGAAACGAATTGTGGGTCAATGGTAGATGAAGGTGAAGGAAGGAGAGCTCGGCTTCGGAGCGGAAATCCTATCTTCAAGGAAGCCCGCGAGAGAGGACCGGAACTGGGGCGTGCATTCGATACGAGGTGTTTACGTGTAAATTGACGATGACGCGATTCGCTCTAGTGCAATGGACGAGAAGTATGAAAGTTGAAGTATCTTTGGGACAGAAAAAGCTTTGTCAAGTATTTAGTGACTCGGATCCAATACGTGACTGATCACGATTCAACATGATCGTCGAAAACAGTACAGGTACGCACCGTACGTAATAGAGCTATTAATGGTAAGTCCCGTAGTCGCAAGTTATTGGCAATCCCCGTACAAATACTAATAGAAATTTTTAGCTCATTTTTACAGTTGAAACCAATAAAAAAGGCATCCAACCGACAAAAATAAAAATATTTCCATTGTTTAATTTCTCACTAGTACCAACATATTTTTATTAGTGGTCCTTGATACTGGAGATAAGCACCACTGATTTGATATTCCAACAAGTACCACTAGTACTAGTAGTAAGGACCACGTCCGAGAGAGTGTTCTGCACCTCTCCTAACCTCGCGCGACGCTTTTTTTAGAATATGCACCTTTCAAAATAATTTAATGCCTCTGTGTGACTAAATTAATAAAAATACACCACGCAATTCAGGGGCATCGAATTTCCGAAAGCTTCTGTCCTTTACGTCACCTGAATTTCCAAAAACTTCTGATTTGACCAATTGGAATGGAGATTATTTGTCTATTTATTACATTCAAGGTTAGGGATACATACAAAATCATCTTAGATCCTCGTTCCACTCTTGATGTTTCTTCATCTGTACAGTACGGAACCTATCCTGCACTTAATCAATACCAAACAAAATATTTTTTGCTGCATCAAAACAAAGTTTTATTCCGTTGTTGTCAATATTCTTCTTCTCTTCATTTACTCTTTTTATTGCTACTGTGCATTGTACCACTATCATGCCTACTGCAATCAGAACCCCTATTGCATTCTACTGCCGTGGGTGTTGGGAACTAGAGGGGGAGAAATCAAAGTTCAAAGGCTATAAATCTCAATCGACTACTCACGTCAATGTCAAATATATCGCAGCAGGATTAAAATGGCATATCTCACACAATTCAGAATGCTATTCTGTCTACAAATCCCAGAACCTCATTAAGGGACGGGACATCAATTTTTCTACTTCAATTAGAGAGCAAACATCTATTCCTCCCATACACCATTCTCCAACTGATTTTGGTCTGACAATGGTCACAAATGGACCAAGTCTGCCGTCCCATTTCACTAATCCTAATCATGGACCAAGGCCTTCAGCAAATAACCTTCACTCTGTACTCAACAGACAGGTCATTCACGATGTCTTTGTTCCACCAATGGAAAGAGATCTTATTGAATGTCACATGGCTGCCTCTGCTCAAGACAACGATGACTATGGTGGCAGCGGAGACAATGATGACAGTACTAGTAGAAGCAACGACAACGACAACAATGACGACAATGACAATGACAACGACGATGACAATGACAATGACAACACCTGTAATGATAGAAATATTTTGCGACTTGGTTATTTTTTTTGTGGAGGGGGGGAGAGGGGAAACAAAGATGAGAAAATGAGAAAAATTGACACCCGGGGAATTGCCAATATCTTGCGATTAAGGGACTTACCATTAATAGTCCTAGTATGTAAGTAGTAGGTACATACGGTACAAGAATGAATGAATTACAAGTTCGTAGCACTGGTACCAGTTAATTTGGAGTAAAATGCATTAACCGTAAAAACCCTACCACACTCTACTGGGCAAAAAAGCATTCTACTCAATCCCCAAAAATTATTACTAGTAAAATCACAGTTACTAATTTTGCATTTGAAGCCCAGTATTTAGTACTGATCCTACATAGATCTACGAGTTTTTGGTCACTTTTTGACCACAAACAGTGTTTATGAGGCCATTAAAAGTGCCCAAGAACGGACTCAAATGAGATCCCTTTTGGGGGTATGCTCGGTCATTGTTACACAATTAGGGGCAGGGGGGGGGSATTCTCCATTAACAGCTGGTATGACCAAATTTGGCCAGTGGAGACCGGCTGCTGCTGGTTAGAAAATAGGTCAGAACTCTATCAACAAAACAACTTTAGACCACCAGACTAAGCGCCCAGACCAAGTTGATACAATTACTACTAGTACTAGTACTTAGAGATCCAGGTCATTGGGAAGCCAAAGGATGCTCTACTAGCAGCTTAGAACTAGTCAGCCAAAGTTACAGTGGTAGTGGGTGGCCAAAAAGTACTGTTTAACTCCCTCCTCATACTTTCTTCATACCACCAGTAAGAGACTCAAAAGTACAAGTAATATTACCACCACTACTAATCACTGTGTGCAAAATAACAAAAGAAATTTTGTTGATGGCATTTCTGGGAAAGCTAGCAAGTTACTAACGTTTCAAATGTTGATTTAGTGGTTGGAATGCCAATAGTGTAACAACAACACAGGGCACTCTACCCAACACTACTAGTAGTAGTACTATGCCTGAGCATGTCCCCAAAGGGGAGGATATTAGAGGCCATTCTTGAGCAGTTCTAATTGCCCTAGTACTATTAGTAGACTGCTTCTCTGTTGATCAAAGTAGTACTAGTATCATGCCCCAGCAATATGTAGATATACTATGTAGTACAATGATCTGCTGGTACTTAAAAAAGAAAAAAAGGCTTGTTCTCTTGAAATCAANGGAACTGGGGCGTGCATTCGATACGAGGTGTTTACGTGTAAATTGACGATGACGCGATTCGCTTTAGTGCTATGGACGAGAAGTATGAAAGTTGAAGTATCTTTGAGACAGAAAAAGCTTTCTCAAGTATTTAGTGACTCGGATCAAATACGTGACTGATCACAATTCAACATTATCGTCGAAAACAGTACGTACGCACCGTACGTAATAGAGCTATTAATGGGAAGTCCCGTAGTCGCAAGTTATTGGCAATCCCCGTACAAATACTAATAGAAATTTTTAACTCATTTTTACAGTTAAAACCAGTTAAAAAAGGCATCCAACGGACAAAAATAAAAATATTTCCATTGTTTAATTTCTCGCTAGTACCAACATATTTTTATTAGTGGTCCTTGATACTGGAGATAAGCACTGATTTGATATTCCAAGAAGTAGGAAGGGGGACCACCAGTAGTAATAGTAATATTTTGCAACTTGGTTATTTTTTTTGTGGAGGGGGGGAGAGGGGAAATAAAGATGGGAAAATGAGAAAAAATTGACACCTGGGGAATTGCCAATAACTTGCGACTAAGGGACTTACCATTAATAGTCCTAGTACACAAGTAGTAGGTACATACGGTATGAGAATGAATGAATTACAAGTTCGTAGTACTGGTACCAGTTAATTCGGAGTAAAATGCGTTAACCGTAAAAACCCTACCACACTCTACTGGGCAAAAAGGCATTCTACTCAATCCCCAAAAATTTTTACTAGTAAAATCACGGTTAATTTTGCATTTGAAGCCCAGTATTTAGTACTGATCCTACATAAATCTACGAGTTTTTGGTCACTTTTTGACTACAAACAGTGTTTATGAGGCCATTCAAAGTGCTCAAGAACCAGCTCAAATGAGATCCCTTTTGGGGATATGTTCGGTCATTGTTACACAATTAGGGGCAGGGGGGGGGGATTCTCCATTAACAGCTGGTATGACCAAATTTGGCCAGTGGAGACCGGCTGCTGATTAGAAAATAGGCCAGAACTCTATCAACAAAACAACTTTAGACCACCAGACTAAGCGCCCAGACCAAGTTGATACAATTACTACTACTATTACTACTAGTAGTACTTAGAGATCCAGGTCATTGGGAAGCCAAAGGATGCTCTAGCGGCTTAGAACTAGTCAGCCAAGAAAGTTACAGTGGTAGTGGGTGGCCAAAAAGTACCGTTTAACTCATACTTTCTTCATACCAGTAAGAGACTCAAAAGTACGAGTAATATTACCACCACTACTAATCACTACGTGCAAAATAACAAAAGAAATTTTGTTGATGTCATTGCTGGGAAAGCTAGCAAGTTACTAGCATTTCAAATGTCGATTTAGTGGTTGGAATGCCAATAGTGTAACAACAACACAGGGCACTCTACCCAACACTAGTAGTAGTACTATGCCTGAGCATGTCCCCAAAGGGGAGGATATTAGAGGCCATTCTTGAGCAGTTCTAATTGCCCTAGAACTACTAGACTGCTTCTCTGTTGATCAAATTAGTAGTACTAGTATCATGCCCCAGCAATATGTAGATATACTATGTAGTACAATGATCTGCTGGTACTTAAAAAAGAAAAAAAGGCTTGTTCTCTTGAAATCAA